TCAGGTGAAGTCCATGTGTATAACCTGCGTTTGTGTCTCTTATAAAATGTATTTGCAATGAATAAGTCATTGATTTTACAAAACTCAATCATTCTGTCTCCAGCCTCATTCCTGTCACCAAGTCCGTGTTTTCCGACTACTGATTCTTCTTCACTATTCCCAACTTTTGCATTCCAGTTTTTAGGAGGGAGAAAAAAAGTTGTGGAAGAAGCATCCCTGCTCATATACCACTGGCATCTGAGATACACAGGCATTATGTGAAGACTACTATTCTAGATAATGTAATCAAATAGTGTGAATATTGGAAGACTACTTATAGATATGACTGTATAGTGAGAAAATCCAGGGTGCTCAGTGAAAGCATGTTTGTATTGATGCAGTGATTTAAAGATGCCCAATTAGTAGCTTTCCTTTACTGGAATAATAATGAGTTAGAAATAGAACCATATATATATATATATATATACACACACACACACACATATATATATATATATATATACACACACACACACACACATATATATATATATATATCAATGTATCTATATATCTATATCTGTATCTATATATATAGTTGTTGGGGACCATCAAGCTAGCTGTGACTCAGGGTAACCTCATGTATCACAGAACAAGTATTGCTCGTCCAGCACCATTCTCACAAGAGTTGTTATTAATGTTTGTGCTCATTGTTGTATCTGTTGTGTAAATCCACATATAATTTGTTAATTGAATTGATTAGAAACATGCATATTATACTTATGTTTCTGATCAATTTATTTAACACATGGAAAATAAGTAATAACACTATAATAAGGAATAGAAAGATTAACTCACTAAGTAGAATCCTTTCTGAGAAAAGAAACTTAGTATTTTGAAATATATAACATCGCTATAAAAAAACTATTTGCTGCAATTCTCATAAAAACCCCTTTGACATAAAAAGGAAAAAGCAAGAGAGAAGCTGGTAGCATCTGTTTCCTTGAGCTATTAATTTACCTTGTATTATGATAGCATGTTATTTAATTAATTCAGTGTGCTGAGCATACTATTAATATGCTAATACTACTGTTGAAAGTTGCCTCCTAAAACATACTCTGAAGTGACTGTCACAGTAAAATGTGTTATTCCTCTGTCCTGACCACATTACCACGTTTAATGTGAGTTGTGTAGTCCAGGCTGGAGGTGAACGTCACGAAGAAAGTGTGCTGTGCTTGGGCTGGCACAGCATGATCTATGAATTTAGAAATTCACATGTGGGAGATAGAGATTGAGAAGGAACAGCACATCATACTTACAGTGCTGAAATCATACTCTGATTAGAGTATCTTCAAGTAATTATTTTCCTGAGAAGTCATTGGTTTGTTGTTGTTTTTTTTTTTCTTTTAAGTTTCATTTTATTAAATGTGACTGAAGCAGACACCATGGTGATTAAAGAATTTAGCCAAGATGGCTTAGACTTCTTCTGGCCCACCAAGATCTCCAACACAACAGCTGGGTACCAAAGGACTATCTGAAGGAATGGTACAAATGGAAGAACTTAAGTGGGTTTCTTCATACAACTTATAGAAAAGATAAAATAAACAAGACATGCAGGTGGCCTGGTAGTGACCACGGAGTAACCCCTGTGGCTGTGGGGAAGCCGGGCTAAAGCTTCTCTCAGGTCTCACTGTCACTGTCTCCCAGGGTGTGCTTGTCAAAGCGATACTCGGCCAGGCCCGAATCTGGGGCGCCCATCTTGCATAAGTTGGTTACATTGTCACCCAGTTGTTTGATGGATTTCACCTGCTCATCCAGGTGATGTGTCTCAATGAAGTCACACAAATGAGCGTCGTTCTTGTCAGTGGCCACTTTGTGCAGTTCCAGTAGGGACTGGTTCACACTTTTCTCCAAGTGTAGCGTACACTCCATTGCGTTCAGCCCACTCTCCCAGTCATCCCGGTCTGGTTTCTTGATATCCTGAAGGAGGATGCAGCCACCTCGCTGATTCTGCAGTTTCATCAGTTTCTCAGCGTGTTCCCTCTCCTCGTGGGATTGGTGGAGAAAATATTTGGCAAAATTCTTCAAAGCCACATCATCACGGTGGAAGTAGTAAGACATGGACTGGTAGACATAGGAGGTGTAGAGCTCCAGGTTCATCTGGCGGTTGATGGCGGCCTCCAAGTCCTGGTTGTAGTTCTTGGTGCACCTGCAAAGGGGACGCGGTCATGGCAGTGGTGGTGGAGAGGCGGCGGCTGCGCGGCGCTGGAGCGGAGGTGAGGACCTTGCGGCGTCTGGGGGTGCTGATGTGAGGAGGTGGCAGAGGACTGGCTGGAGATGACCGGCGACGGGAGACGCAGGCGAGTGCCGGGTTCTGTTCAAGCACTGTTGAGGCGGGAGACCACGGCGACTCTGCTGCGAAGACCGCCTCAGAGAATTCATTGTTTTTATATAGAAGAAGCAGTTCAGTAAAGTTGGACAAACAAATAAAGCTTCAGTTTTGCCCTTTGATTGAAAAGGTTATGATGGAGATGATAAAAATGGTACTGTATGTACTTTTTGAGGAAATTAACACTTTACATTGTGACAGTGGTGGAAAAATGAAATTAATTATGCTTGAAAGAGAGAAAAAGTAGTTTGCTTCCAAAGTGACCCAGGACATAAGCTTAAGGAGTTAAATACATAAAGTTATTTATCATTCATATGCCATCCACATAATACAAATATATTTTTATTGCTACTTTATTCTTTTATCTCATGCAGTATATCTAATGATGAAAGCACTAAAAGATACCAGATATTTTCTAGCATACCCTCTTTCTTTGAAAAAGTCACCCTGACATTTTAGCTAAGATTTGTTAGATACTAGTCAGAATCAAGTCATAGGGACTCTCTAAGAGTATAGAATAACACAGGGTTTCCAAGGCAGTAGATATGTGTGGAAGCAGAGTGCCACATCTCCTACAGAGCAGTTGGTGAGTTCAAACCAGACTTTTTGATTAGCAGCCAAGCACTTTAGCCAGTGCGTCACCCAGGACTCCTGAGATCAAGACTGGATGTTCATTTTGACATCTAATTCCTGTATTTGATTCCTGTCATCATAATAAGATTTTAGAAAGAAGGATGGATTGTGTCTGAGGGCATGTTACCTTTTACTGTCTATCCTAACTTACACTGTGAAGTAGATATTAAACCCTTTAAAAAAACAACAACAAAGAAACAAACAGATAAAGATAATAACATTCAGGGAGTGTTAAGAATCCTGGTTAAGGTCACATAATCAGTAAGGGATGGAGTCCAGGTTTTGGGAGAGGGAAACCCAAACTCTCATTTCATTTGTTTTCTTTAAACTTACCATTTTAAATCCCTTGCTGTGACTGTCACAGGAAAACACAGGCCATTCCTTCCCATTCAGAATCTAGGAGAGCAGTTCTTCCCAGGCATGTTCTGCTATGACACTTATGTTCAGTATGTTCAGTACACAGCGAGTAAATGTCTTGCCAGTTTTGAAGGATCAAAAATGAAAAGATCCTCTGAGCAGGCTCATCTTCACAGTCAGTCCTAGCCAGTTATTGTAAGGGTAGTGTTTTGTTCTGCTTTTAAGTTATTTTTTTTAAAAAGAGTTTGTAATGATTATTTAGAGTGCTTTAAAAGAAGACATACGGAATAGACATATCAGAGACTTACTTAGTAGGCTGCATTCAGAATCATGCTTAGTGACAAGCTGCTTCCCTCGCACTGGGCACACAGCTGTGTTTGAGCCAGCATCTCCTTGAAGGAAGGACGGCGCTCTATCACCATCACACCGTGAAAACCAACTAATTTATAGCATTATTTCAATATTCTGAGCTCTGGGTTCAGTTTTGAGCTCTGAGAGTTGGGGACTTTTTCTTTGTACATTTTTAGGGCACCTAAGGAAGCAGACAGTATATGTGAGATGAGTTGGGGGAGATGAGAAGCGCTGTAGATTCCTCACAGTTGGAGACATCTCATCTATGTGAAAGTCACATACTTCATGTGACAGAAGTGCAAATCTGCCCAGCCTGTTTCAGCATACCTGATCCCAGATACTACTGTTTCAATTCAATACCTGCTGCAACTTTTCTGGAAGGTGCACAATTTTCTGAAATTTCCAACAAACAACATTATGATTTAGTTGCACAAGGAAGAGTTCTCTTTTTCTGAGGCCTGTGTGGTCCTATTGGAAGTATTAATGTTCCCACACTGTGTGTTTCTTCTGTGTTTACAGGCTCAGAATGTGGGACTCCCGGTGCCTGTCCACTCACCAAATGTGAGGCTGATGCGTTCCGCCCTCCTCCCAACAGCATCCAACGTGGAGGCCTTTCCCTTTCCTGCTTCTGGCTGTCAGACGGAAGCAGCCTTTATGGAAGAAGAGTGTGTTGATACTCCAAAGGTATGGATGGGTGTGTGAGAGGCTCAGAGCTTACCACTTGGCTAGTGACTCACATTTGGGCCACAAGTATTGAACTTTGTCATTTCATCAAGGAGCTCGGGAGTGGTGTTTGAGTTGGGGAAGACGCTAAGAAAAAGTGTCCAGAGCTAAGCCTGGCTCTCAGTATCTTGTCATCATGACTGTTATGTGACTTGTCACACTTCATGGTTCTTCCCAAAATCCTCTAATTCACCTATCTTAGCCATTCCTTCTCTTCACGATTCCAAGTCCCTCACAAGAGTGGAGGAGAGTTTTTATATATTTTTAAACAAATTGGGATTCTGAAAAAAATTTCATTATAATAATTGTGCTGAGTAGAGCTTTGACTTTACTGTGTATGCTGCAGCTACAGAATGGTACGTAGGCATCTCTTTTTTGTCCATGAAACGAGTGAGAATTAATTGAGATGATATGTGTGAATTTCTGGGAAGATTTTAAATACCCAACACATACTCATTTCCTTTCTTTTTAGCCCCTCTGGGTAATATAAAGCCAATAGAGATTTGGATTCTACTTCAAAGTGTGTAGTGTAGCAAAAGAGATAGTAATACAACTAAAGACGGTGTGCCATTTGCCAGATAAGTTTATATGAGATGGGATAATACTGGTCCCTTAAACATATACTTCTAAATCAAAGTGCTGTGAGACAGGGAAGTGTTAGGAGGGTGTTAGCTCATCTGATCAGGAAACTGTCAGACCTGAGACTTGAGAAATGAAAAGGAATGAAATAGGTGAGAATAGGGTGTGATATCATCAGTGAATGGAAAAGCCTGAGAAAAATCTAGGAATAAACAAAGGTGAGGTCCACCTTAGGAATGAATGAAAGCAGATCAGTTTGTTTGAGGAAGAGTATACATGAAGGGGAGATATGTGAAATTATAAGAGTAGTTTGGCTTTGAATGGCAAGCCAAGGACTAGACTTTTCCTCTAGACTGTTGCTGTATGACGATGGGTTGACACTGACTATGACAGTGGGCTCAGGCTTAATGACAGTTGTGAGGGTGGTGTGAGGATGGGCAGTGTTTTGTCCTGGGGTACAGAGGGTACTCAACAGCAACTAACCCTAACAACAGTATCTTCATTGTATCTTTAAGAGAGTTTGTTCAAATGGACTTCCCCAAATTGGTAGAAAAATTGAACACTTTTTAGTGAGAGGGTACTGTTATGTTTCAGATATTGGCTTGACAGTGTATGTAGCATGAATTGGATGGTGGAAAAATCGATGACCAGGTAAATAGACTTGTACATGGTCCGGGAGGAGATGGTAAGTGCCTGAACTAGGATTTGTTGTTGTTTGATTCCTTCATGTCAGTTCTAACTCATAGTGACCCAAGTCCTGCACTGTCCTCACGGTGGAGGCTGCTCCGACCTCACAGTGGAGACTGCTCCTTTCCTGCGGTGGAGGCTGCTCCAGCCGCTCCATCCTCATGGTGGAGGCTGCTCCGTCCTCATGGTGGAGGCTGCTCCGTCCTCGGGTTGGAGGCTGCTCCGTCCTCGGGGTGGAGGCTGCTCTGTCCTCATGGTGGAGGCTGTGCTTGAGCCCACTGTTGCACCTTCTGTGTAAAGCCATGTCATTGAAGGTCTCCCTCTTTTTAAGTGTCTCTCTGTCTACTTTACCAAGAATGATATCTTGCTCCATGGTCAGACCCTGTCTAATAACATGTCTGAAATATGTGAGATGAAGTCTTGTCATCCTATTTCTGAGGAGCATTTGGACTTCACTTCCTCTGACATAGATTTATTCTTCTGTCAATCTATGATATTTTCTTCCTAAGTACCGCAATTCAAAGGCTTCAGTTCTCATTCAGTCTTCTTCATTAATTGTCTTATTTTAACATGCCTGTGAGTTTATTTAAAATAGCCTGGCTCCAATCAGGTACTCCTTCTTGTTCTTGTTGTTGCTGTTGTATGTGCCATCAAGTCACTTGTGACTCATAGCAACCCTATGTACAGGAGCCCTAAACTCTGCTCTATCCTTTGCCAACCTCACTGTCTCTGACACACCTACCCCCATTATCCCAGTTACTGAATTGATCCATCTCAATGAGTGTCTTCCTCTCTTGCACTGTCCCTCCACCCTCTCAAACATGATGTCCCTCTCCAAGAACCAGTCCCTCCTTGTAACATATCCACAGTATATCAGATGAAGCTTTCGGATCCTTGCCTCCAAGGAGCAGGCCACCCTCTCCAGGACGAACCTGTTTGTTCTCCTTGCAGTCCATGGAATATTCAACACTCTTCAGCACCACAGCTCAACCACATCAATTCTCTTCCTATCATCCTTAGTCACTGTCCAGCTCTCTGACGCACAGCAAGCAATTGCAAAGACTATGGCCTGAATCAGGCGCACCTTAGTCTCCAGACTGACATTGTTGCTCTTCAGTACTCGGGAGAGGTCCCTGCCAGCAGACTTTCCCAAGGCAATTCATCTTTTTCTTTCCTGGCTGCTGGTACCAATGATGTTGATTATGGAGCCAAATAAACTGAAACTGTTAACAATCTCAATCTCTTCACCATCCATAATGATGCTGTCAATTAGCCCAGTGGTGAGAAATTTTGTTTTCTTGATGTTAAGCTTCAATCCATATTGAAGGCTGCAGTCTTTGACCTTCTGCAGCAAGCGCTTCAGGTCCTCCTCAGTTTCAGCAAGCAGGGTTGTGTTATCTGCATAACATAGGTTGTTGATTAATCTTCCGCCAATCCTGATGCCACATTCCTCCTCATACAGCCCAGCATCCTGGATGATCTGTTCGGCATATAACTTGAAAATGTATAGAGACAGATACATCCCTGGCAGAAACCCTTCCTGATTTTGAACCACGCAGTGTCCTCAAAAATAATATACTTGCTATTCATGTCCTCTAGTAGAATTGAAGCTGGAGAAGATGGCATAAAAGGGATTGTACATATAAATTGGTAGAATATTAAGATGCAAGAAGAGAGTATTCCAAACTGATGACTCAATAGAGCCTAGGTGTTTGAGAGGGTGGTTGCCAGGTTCCAAAGTAGAGAATGCTGGGAGTAGTGCTGATTCACAAGTCAGTGCATTTAGCTGGGTCCCGAGCAGGCAGCTCGATTCTCGGCTGCCACAAGCAGATGTTGGACTGAAAACCTGTTCATGCCCCTGAAGATGAGCCCACAGCGTTCATTTCCTGTGAACACTGTTCTCCACCTGTGGTTGCCTGGCATGTTCAGTAATATCAAAAACTGCTGCCACATTCCTGCAAAGGAAAGCAGACATAAACTGGAACAACATAATTTATTTATTTTGGAGATCTAATAATTCCCTTGATAACATTTAAATGCCGTCTGCTAAAGGCTTGTCTGTGAGGGCATTAGGCCTGAAACACAAATTGGCCTCTGTCTATCGTTATTATATAGGGCAAACTATTTTTAACGCTGGTGATTGTTGCTGTAACTAGGAAATAGACAGGAAATGAAGGATTTTGCGAAAGATACAGACAGTAGCTAGGTGGTCTGTTTGGGTATGTGTCCGGATAGAACTGACCGCTTTGCTAGCCGTGCCATGTGGCTCTGAGCCAGGCCAGGGACTTCCACTGGCCTTGTTTATGGGCCATGTTATTTATTTCTTTCATCAAGAAAGCACATCCCTCCTTAATGCCACATCTTTGGGGGACCCATAAATGAATTCACAAAAACCTATCAGATAGTAGTACACTTCTCTTTGTTCATGTCACTTCACATACCTTTACTATAATACCTGTTCATTGTTTTGTAAAAGACATTTTATCATTCAGTATCTTGTTTGATTTCTGCTGTGATATGTTGGCAAGTATTGTATGTCTCAGAAAGAGTTCACCTCTTTCCTGCCCAGAGATTTCAGTGCTTAAAGCTGTCACTAAAACTCCCTAGAGAGTCTGGTGAAATTTAGGTTTATGGTTCCTGGAGCAACCAGCAGGATAGTTGGATTGGCTCCTCTCCTTAACTGAGGCCCACAGATGAAACAGAGACCATATGGAAAGATGAATGTATAAGACCTGGAAGGCAATTTTTTTTTTTTGGTGTTTCTTTGGGAATAATGACATTACACACACACACACACACATACACATACATTTCAAAGCCATTTTATTAATAAATACAATGGTAAAAGGATTGAACAAGTCAACATCGACATAGTTGAATGTTATAGCAGCCCTGCAAACAGCTGACCTGAAGCCTTCCTTGTCTTGGACCATACTACTCGTCTCTGATACACTAAAAGGAACTGGAGATCAAACCAGGAAAATGCAAATGCAGTCCAGTCTTTTACTATCTGCTGGTGTTATTACTAACTTTTTTTTAAAAAGGGTTGTACACATAGGAGATAGTCTAAAAGGACATGCATGTATCAGACTTTAACTTCTAGATTTGAAGTTTTTCTAACAAATATGTAAATTTATAATTGAAGAAAATAAGACCAGCCATAGTCATGTCTGGAAAATTCAGGGAATGGAGTAAAGGAAAATTTTATCTTCAATCCCACTATCCTGAAGTAAGCATATTTTGGTGTGTTTGCATAGGGTAAATGATAGCATCTGCCTATAATTATTTTATTAGGAAAACCCTTATTTACCTATGTTCTCATTGTTGGATATTAGGCACTGTAATTATTTAAATGTTTATATATGCTTTAAGTGACATCTTTGTGTATCTAAATCCTTTAACTACATATCTGATTATTTCCTTAGGATAAATTTGTAGAACTAAGCTTATCCAATTATTTGCATCCTTATCTGGTTATTTATCTTAACTTGCCCAAGATGTTAAAAATACTTTTAAAAGGAAGTAGTAGAGTTTTATTCTTATAAAATTTTTATTGTTTGAGAGAATTCTCTTTACCCAAGAAATAATAATTGATAAAATGCATTGACTGCCTTAGATTAAGATACTGTGCTAAGCATTTTATATGATCTTCCCAAAGCAACTTACTTCTATTATACAAATGAAGAAAACTAAGCTTGACAGAGGTTAAGCAACTTGCTATTAGAGCTGATATTTGAACCAAAGTACATCTTAAATGTATGCCAAACTGGTTGGGCACATAGAACACAAGTTATTTAAGCATATTCCCAGTTTCCAGACTCACTAGTCTTTGTTGTACACGGGTGTCCCAGTGTCCTTGCTAGAACTTTGTGTTGTGGTTGGGCCAGGGACTTTATCACTTAGGTGGGGTCTCCACACATATTCAACCTACTGCAGAAGAGATCTCAAATTAGAATTGGAGCTTTATGAAAAGACAAAATCATGTACTGGGAAATGTACATTTAATTCCCATTGTATTTTGAAGCCCTATAATTTATACTTAAAATAGATTCTTTCCTAGAGCAAGAGTTCTTACTTCTATTAGCTTATGGTCACTTAGCTAGATTAGCCTAGCATTTCTGCCACAGAATCTTGGAGCTGAATTGAGCCTCTTCTATCCAGTCCCTGGGAAGATTGGCAGGCAAGGGTAACTTAGTTATCTGCTGATTGAGGAAACTTGAACATGTGACAGCTGAGCCTTGGCAGCTGCACGTGTCAGAGCGTGCTCCTGCCTGGAAACCCGTAGCAGCCCCCACAGAGTGCTTCATCCTTGTCATCTGCCATCTGAAATTCACGTCCTTGTGTCCACCTCTCCCAGGAGTAAATTCAGTTCAGCAGACAATTTCTAATGAAAGACATAATTCCCCTTGCACTCGAGATAAGATAACTGTATTAAGCAGTTAGTTTCCATAAAATTGCACAGTTAGGGGGATGGAAACATTTTTTGAGTACTTAGGAAAAGATTGGTTTTTCTCTACTAAGAGGTTTGCGAGGCTTATACCACCAGAAATAACTGGTAAGCTATTACCAGAGTCTGTAAATGTAACAATGCTTAGTAGATAATTAACGTAATAATAAGTCTTTCTTCTGTTGCTTTATTCATTTCTACATTATCTTCAGTTAATCTTGGAAAATTTTATCTAAGGAACCTAGAAGTTCTCAAACAGCCATTCATGGTTTAGCCTCTGAAGGGGGCATTTTCCCCACTCTTCCTTTTCAGTGACCACTGGGCCATTTAAAGGAGTCCTGGTAGCACTGTAATTAAAGCATTAGACTAACCACAAGGTCAGTGGTTCAGACAGACCAAGAGAAAGATAGGACAATCTGCATTCATAAAAATTATAGCCTTAAAGTTTGGCATTTCATCAAAAAGCTGAACATAGAAACTCCATATGACCCAGCTATTCCATGGCTAGGAATATTCCCCAAGAAAACGAGAACCGAGGCACAGATTTGTACACCAGTGTTCATGACAGCATTATGCACAATAGCACAAAAATGAAAACAGCCAAAATGTCTATCAACAAATAATGGCTTGAGAAATTGCATATTCTCAATCCATAGATGGAATACTATGCAGCAGTCAGGAGCAAGAATTTTGAGAAATACTATATAACATGGCAGAGGCATAAGACCATTATTGTAAAAATAGACAATAGTAAGATATGTATAAAAGCCCAAAAGAGGAAAGATGACAAGGCAGAGAATGAAGGCAGGTATCACAAGGTCACAGAGTTTGTAGGTAGAGTGGGGATGTGAAGGAATTAGGAAGGATCCAGTGGAGACCTAAAAATATGGAGTGGTAGTGGGTATAGATCAGTGATGATTGGTTTTATAAAATAGAATATATGGGAATGATCTTGTGAAACAGTGTATATAAATGAAACAGTATATATGAAGGAAACAGTGTATATGAATTTTAAATGGAGAGCAGTAAAACATTTTTTAAATATATGTAAAACAAATTACACCTTAGAAACCCTAAAGGGCACTTCAATTCTATACCCCAGAGTAGGAAGCAACTTGAAGGCAGTGAGTTTGGGTCCTTCTAAATCCTGTAAGCCCATAAGCACCTTATCCAAGTAGTGACTACAGCCCCAGAAGAGTTTTAATGGGATAACCATCCCCCTCCCCCAAGCAAAGAAAGATCTGAGTCACCTACATCCCTCTTTCCAAATAAAGGGCTTCGAGGAGACTTCAGATTGGTTGCCATAAGAGGAAAGTTGCCCTGTGTCTGGCACAGAGATGTCCCACGTCACCTCTTACATACATCAGCTGCTCCTGCTTCCAAAGGAAACAATAGCACTCTCTCTAGGTTCTCCCTAGTGCAGCCTCCACACTGGGGCTCTCTGCACTAGCTCTATTCACTGTGCACCCCTACCTTGTGGCCCTAGCCATGCTCCCCTCACAGCCACATCCCCCTAGGCCCTCCACACTGGTGCTCTCTGCATTATGCTCTCCCCACTGTGCACCCCCACCATGTGCCCCCTAGCCAGCACGCTCCCCCTGCAGCCACTCACTAAGGTGCTCCTAGTGAAATCACTGCCTAGAACTGAGTGCCTTCTGACTGCTCCTGAGCAGTCATTCACAGGAGAAAGCAAATTGATTTCCACAGGGGAATAGTTAAAGTAATGAGGTAAATAATTGCCTCCTTATTGGGGCTTTTACCAGCCAGGAGATCTCGCAACCACAACTCCCCTTTGTGTGCTGTCTGCCTGCCATTAGGTGGTTTGCTTGGCAACTGCTGCAGAAGGCAGCCTTCTCACCTAGGAGCCAGGCTATGCATCCCTGTGGGACAGGAACACAGATAATGTGGTGCTGCTGCTGCCGCTGCTGCTGGAGAGAGCTCAGCGCAGCGATGCTTATTAACCTCTGCTGGAATTTGGGCCCTGTGACTCATCTGTTGTCCTATCGTGGAAAGCTTTGGCTGTTTGCCACCTAAGTATTTTTCTCAGTTCTTTTTGTGGTATCAGTCTTACTTAATGAATTCTTGCTTTCCATTTCTCAGGCTGATAGAACAGTTGAAAGAAAAATCAGAAGGGCAGTTACTTAAATTATGAACATGCAGGTATATCTGGAACGTTCTAATTTGTTTTGTAACTGAAAATTGAAAAAAATATTAGGGATTTTTTTTTTTTTAGCTATAGGCCTTATAATTTGGGAGAAGCGGAAAATCTCTTCTTTCCACTTTGTTTCCTTTATTTTAAAAAAAAAAAAGCAAAACTCAGAGGCTTCAAGCTAATATGCCCCTGTGCATCTGGAAACCACTAAAAATGTTGTTTATTGTAATAATGACTCAGAGAAGCCAGGGAGTCAGTGCCAGCTTGGATCATAATGGACTTCTGTCTTCTAACTATGGCAGTTGACTTCTACTCTAAATGTTGTTAGACACAAACGTGAACCATTTTAGTAATTAACTAGGTCTCTAATTTTAATACTTTTTCTTTCATGGATTTTTCTGATACCTCAGTAAAGCAGTAGTAGCTGACAGTTTGCTCTCCTCTGCTGCCCTGTCCCTTGGTCATACAGGTCAATGGCTGTCTGCTTGAACCTGTTCCGCCTGTCCTGGTGAGGAAAGGATGCCAGTCATTGCCCAGCAACATGATGGAGACCTCCATTGATGAAGGGCTTGAGGCAGAAGGGGACGTCGAGGAAGACCCTGGCCAGGCCTTTGAAGCATTCCAGTCCACACGTAGCGGACAGAGACGGCACACACTGTCAGAAGTAACCAATCCACTGGTCATGATGCCTGGCTCAGGTACACCAGAGTGTCAGGAGCATCCCTGAGGAAATGTTAACAATGCCAATCGCTTCCTAGGTTCTAGTCTTTCTGGACTAGGTTCAGCTAGCTGTAGGGAAAGGCCTGCTCGGCAGCTAACAGATTAAAATAAAATGTCTGAGTTGGTTTCCCCAAGGCCGGGCCGGCTTCACTATGAGTCATCATAGACTCTGGCTCTTCCGAACAGCCTCAGGAGTGCAGCCGGTGGAGTGTTTTCCAGAATTTCAGAGACGATTGCGTTTCAGCTCTTGTTCCCTGAAATCTGTTCTTTAGATATTTGAAAGTTTCTAGAAACGAAAAGTATTTTGATTGGCTATCAAAGACTTTGTAGTTGTCGAGGCTCAAGTGCTTTATGCTTTGTATCTCATGTTAGAAAAGAAAATGTTCTGTTAAATCTGTTTTGTTTTCTCTTAAAGGGAAGATGTACTCCATGAGTGACAGCCCTTCCCTTGACAGTGTGGACTCAGAGTATGAGATGGGGTCTGTCCAGAGGGACCTGAACTTCCTGGAGGACAACCCCTCCCTTAAGGACATCATGTTAGCTAATCAGCCTTCAACTCACGTGCCGTCGCCATTCATAAGCCTGAGACCTGCCAACCCGGCCATGCAGGCGCTCAGCTCCCAAAAGCGTGAGGTTCACAACAGGTCACCGGTGAGCTTCCGGGAGGGCCGCAGAGCGTCGGACACCTCCCTCACACAAGGTGACTGCTGCTCCGTGTCTCTAAACCCTCTTGTAAGGGTGCAGAGGGAGAATGGCAACCATGTCGTTTTCACAGCTGTGACCCCCAGAAGGCCTGGCATTTTATTGAAACTCTTGGTCTTTCTGTTTTCTTTCAGGGATTGTAGCATTTAGGCAGCATCTTCAGAATCTGGCTAGAACCAAAGGAATCCTAGAATTAAACAAAGTACAGTTGCTGTATGAACAGATGGGATCCGAGGCTGACCCCAGCTTGGCATCTGCTGTTCCTCAGCTCCAAGACCTTGCTAGCAGCTGCCCCCAGGTGGGTGCCCTGTGCCCTTCACACACTGGCTCTGTGAGCATGAGGCATGATTAAGTCATTTACTCCAGCTCTAGAGTAAACAGGTTCTTCTGGAAAGCCCATCGGCTCAAAGCTTTCTTTGTTGATACCACGTGGCACTGACAGATTAGATCCGTCCACGTGGCCCCGAGCAATCCGAGCAGACGGAGACCTGGATGTCCTCAAGTCCTCTTCACTTCACACAACAGAGGTTTTACATGGAGAGCCTCTTACCGTCTCCCTTGAGCTCCCACACAGTAGAAATAAAAACCACGGACCTCACCCTCTTGAGAAGCTTCTTGCCACTGCTTTGGATGCGATATTACTACATTAAATATTTTAAGTGGCGGTTCCTTCTAAAGGTGCAGTGTTTCTGCTAATCCCATGAACTTCTTTTGAATCTGTTTTCCATCCGTCAAGGATGTTGTGGTACTAGTGCCCAGCACCCACTTGACAGGGGTTCATTACAGATAACGCACTGACAAGTTTTCTACACATGGCCCTCAGCAGGCTAGTTATGCATAAAACTGAGAATTAGGTTTTATAAAGTTGTGTTTTTCTCTGACATGCTTAGCCTAAGAACTGAGACTTGCCCCCACGTGGATAACTGAAGAAACCCTTGTGCCCTTTGCTCCTCAGGAGGAAGTTTCCCAGCAGCAGGCGAATGTCGCGGGTCTGTCCGGCAGCATACATCCTCAGCTGGCTCGGCGGCAGAGCCTGGAGACCCAGTACCTGCAGCACAGACTCCAGGTGGGGCCCTCATCTCATTCCCAGCTCATTTTTCTCATTCAGAATCTGCTGTTCAGCACAGCAGAAACCTGTTTTTCTTGGTATTGATTTGAAACTGCTGCCTCCTTGTAGGCATGTCACTTTGGTTCTACATTTATAGTTTCTAGAAACATGTTCAGACTTAGCTGTGTGCTCTGTGTTGGCACCAGGCCCTGGGAAAGGTTATGTGCCACCAAGTGCTACAGAAGGGTATCAGTTCTGATTCTGATGATATGCCTGTCAATCATTTAAAAAAAAAAAAGACAGTCTCAAATCCACGGTATTTTACTCCCTACAGTGGTACATGAAAATCTTGAAATACGATATAGCATAAGTCCAATCAGGAGTGAGTCATTCCCTCATTCAGCAGCCACTCCTTTGTTCTAAAGATTTCATTACACTTTTCTCATTGTTTATAAACTCTGTAAATCAGAGATCTAGTGGATTTTCAAAAGAGACCGGCCCGGGCCTCATGACTTAACTCGGCTAAGGGTTTCAAGTGAGCAGGCATTGGCCCTTCTCCATGAAGGACACACTCCTTCATGGGAGGCACAGGTGGTCTGGTGGCCCCACCTTGCTGCTGCTACTGTTCGTACTAGGCTGTCGAGTGATTCTGACCCCATGACCCTGTATGTGCAGAGTGCAGAATCACTAGGTCCATCTTCGGAGGTACCTGGTGGTGGGTTCAAGCTACTAACCTTTGAGCTGGTCAAGTATCTGATCATCTGTGCCACACAGGGACTCTGACTCCACCCTAGCTGTCAGCATATTCTCTCACTGACACTGTTTCTGTCTAATTCCAGAAGCCCAGCCTTCTGTCAAAGACCCAGAACACCTGTCAGCTTTACTGTAAAGAGACACCGCGGAGCCTGGAGCAGCAGCTGCAGGAGCACAGGTGAGGGGGCCTCGGGGAAAAGTCACTGTGTTCTCTGGAAAGCCCGAGAGTGTGCATTATGTTGTCCTTTCCTGCTCATAGGAAAAAAGCCAGTCTTTTCAACCACTAGACAAAGCCCCCTTAGTAGCCAATGTGAATGAATATTGTGTTTTAGTTGGTGTGACTGAAGCCGATATCTGAGATTTAAAATTCTTCCTTTATTATTGTCAATTTAGGCTCCAACAGAAACGTCTCTTCCTCCAGAAGCAGTCTCAACTGCAGGCCTATTTTAACCAGATGCAGATAGCAGAGAGCTCATACCCACCTCCCAGTCAGCAGCTGCCCCTTTCCCACCAGGAGAGCCCCCCACCGGCACAGCAGCCACCAACCTTCAGCCTGGCACAGTCCCTGAGCCCCGTCCTGGAGCCGTCTGAGCGGATGCCGTACAGCAGCCCTTTCCTCAGGCAGTACCAGGAGATGCAGCTGCAGCCGCTGCCCTCGGCGCCAGGCCCTCGTGCTGCCCCTCCGCTGCCAGCGCAGATGCAGCCGCAGCAGCCACCGCCACCACCTCCACCACCGCCCCCACAGCAGCGGGGAGCAGCCCCATCACCCTTGTCTTTCCCGTACCAGACTTGCGAGCTTCCAAGTGCTGCTTCCCCTGAGCCAGACTACCCTCCTCCCTGTCAGTACCCTATGGATGGGGCCCAGCCAGGGGAGGCCACAGCGCAGGACTGTCCCAGGAGCCCTGGACTGCAGGAGACTGCCTCCACCTATGACCCTCTAGCCCTGTCTGAGTTACCTGGACTCTTTGATTGTGAAATGCTAGAGGCTGTGGATCCGCAGCACAGCGGGTATGTGCTGGTGAATTAATCTCAGCACGGAAGGCAAGGTGGGTCAGATGAAAGATGAGTGTGTATTTCTATTTTTATTCCAGCCTTTTAAATTTAAAAGCTTATTTTCTTGCCCTGTCTTTAGTAGGAAAAAGTCAGGGTGCCCGACTGGAATCTGAGGGCCTGGCTGGTTCCTGCCCACTGTCCCACTGCACAGTGTGTGGAAGTGCTGGAGCACAGCTGCAGGCTGGAGATCCTGCCGTTCAGTCAAGTGGAGCAAGTCTCAAGGGAGGCACCAGCATGTTTTATAAGAAGTTATTCAGGCCTAGGTTTTATGCAGTATCATACAAGTTCATTATCAAGACAAAAGCAGGAGGGAAAATATGTGCCACCACTTATGTATTGATAAAAGAAAAGGCAATATATTTTTCACTGAAGCTGAGCAACATGTAAGAAGCTTACCCGGCAAGCCACGAGTGCATAATGGAATGTGATGCCCAGGAAAATTGTCCTTTATCATGAACCATACCTTCTCAGCTGCTGATGCAGGTTATTCTTGAGGCTGTTGCAAAGCAGTTAAGTGTGGACTTTGTTTCAGGGACCACTAAGTGACAGCTGGTACTGACTCCTGACATGGGCGCCCACCTCCATGTGGTTGCAGGTGGCACACTCTGAATTAGTGTCAGAGTGTGGGTACTCAGAGCCCCAGAGGTGTCACCCCAGGAGCCAACAGGAGACCCACCTGGTCAGGCCACAGAGATGCCAAGCCCATCAGGAGCACCAGCCATGGCCTGGGAGCCAATGCTTTCTGACCAGTCTCTTGTGGAGACTCTGGTTCGGGAGCCAGTTGGTCTCTCGAGGACCTGATGTCTCTTTTAAAGTGTAATAACTACTTTGACTTTACACTATATGTTGCTAGTTGTTTATTGAGCTTTGTATATTTGGACAGTTTCATATAGGGCTTAGCAATTTCAAGGACAAGAAAAACAGACTTTTATCTCCCATGTGAAGTGGTAGTGCTGTGCCTTTCCCCCCAAATCATGCTTTAATCCTTTCTTTTCTGTAGAAACCAACAGTTTTCCATTTATGTCAATGCTAAATCCAAAGTCACTTCAGAGTTTGTTTTCCACCATGTGGGAGCTACCATTCTTAATTTCCTTACAGTTTTGACTTGTAATGAAATGTCAAAGTATTACAGCAATATTCAAAGAACCTCGGATGTGTTAACCTGTTAAGCAGATCATCTGCCAGACATATTTACTCACTAGTAAAACTTAACCATCACCCTTAAAATTCATGAAAGTTAAAAAGGAAAAAAAATAGATGCTCTACTAGTCACTTGTCTACTAGAAGTAATAAGTAATCTATACTTTGGACAATAACATCCAAGTGTTACAAATTCAGTGTTATTTACAAAGATGATTTGTAACCTTTTGAATGGTGTGTCCTGTTGGCAGATGAATGCATTAAGCACAAAGCATCTTCCTTAAAGCACAAAGAAGAGAGATCCTACACTGATGCTGCATCTAGAAACACCTTTAAGTTGCCTTTCCTCTTTGTAATAAATGTCCAGACAGGTGAGGAGAAGCAGGAAAGTATAAGGAATGCCATTCCAGCAGTCCCGAGGCCCTGGCAGCTCCGTGGGGTGCCCAGCTCAGCTGGGCTCTGGGTGCTAGCACAGAAGGCTAGTGTGGAGAACTGCTACTTTTGTGATTTTACAGTTTGCAGTGAAAATGCAGGAAGAATTAATTGTGTTCCTTCTAGAAAATGTTTATTCATCTTCGTGCTTAAAATGAATGATTGTATAAAGTAGAGAAACATCATTTCACGTGAGAGTAAAGGGAGGTCAATTAGAACTCTTAACAGAGTTAACAATACATACATTGAATCCACTAAATTGACTCATCTGCTTATTTTTGCTTCATTGATCTCTAATCTAATTAAAGGTTTTGCTAAACAGTCAGTTATAAACGGGGCTTGATTTGCTAGACTGAAGGTTGTTTCCCCAAAGTGTACTGTAGAAGCACTGTACTCATCAGGAGGCATACATGCCCTCTGCCTCCTGGGAAATGGGGGGGTGGGGGGGAACACCTGCTTCCAAATCCCAGGAGTGCTGTGTTTACAGGCGTGCATAAAACCTGTGTGCCAAGAACAGCAGGACAGGTAAGCTAACCAGTGAGGGGCTGGTGTAGAGAGGCTGTTGAAAAGTTAAAAACCCCAGAAATGGAAGCTGGGGGCCCAGCAGTGGTCCAGGGCTCTTATGAAATGCCATTGGCACCCCCGATAAGTCACAAGGCTCCTCCTGTTCAAACACATCTTTTACGCTCTGAACTGCTTATCTCATTATTTCAGGCAGAACCCCTGAATTCCATAACCTTTATTCACTGAGATGAAAGCTCGTAAGAGGGGACTGGTTCTGTTGGTTAGAGTTCTCCCAGCTGTCTCTCCATCTCTGTTCCCTAACTGGTGATCTGTGTAAGCTTCTAGCAATCTCCTCCATCCAGATACTAAAGTAACACTAAGAAGACTTAGCACCACCGTTCTTTATGTGAGAGGCTACTTTGAAATGACTTCTTTGCCGCCTGTTTCATGTCAGCACTGTGTACACTACTGTATCATAATTAGCTTTGTGATCTTGGAAACCAGGCTCCTCTGAAGAGACTTTGATGAGATGAACATGAGGTAAAAATTTCATTCAGCAAAAAGTGCAATATGTGTGGTACTTTATTTTATGTTCTTTTTAAATCCAGGGGTATTAGCCTTTGCTTTGGGAAAAATGCACTAGTTTTGCAGCCTTCAGTCAGGCAGGTGTGACTCTTGCATTTCCACCTGCAGCTGCTTTGCTGGCCCTTGGAGGCAAGCACCACAGGTGAGTGCCGCGGAAAGGGCTGGCATTCCATTTGCAAGCTCCTGGTGCGCTACGTTGACCACCCTGGCCACCTTTAGACCTTCAGTCCAGAGAGGCTGCTCTCTACCCAGGGGAGGGAGAAAGGGTCTTCTGTCCCAGAACCCCAAGATCCACCTAATGGGAAGCCACAAGGCCCCACCAGGGAGGAGGAGATGGGGCTAAATTCATTCTGATAGTTCTTATATGACCTTTATCAACTATATTTCTTAAGAAAGAGAAAGTCAGTGGCCCTTTCTTCCTCAGAAATTAAAAACTCCCTTGTATTTAAACTGTGTCCTGAATGAGTGAAGTGGAACTGCCAAGAGCTTGGGCCTAGGATTAACCCAGCCTCTCGTGCTCGCTTCCTGGCCAGAGAAAGGAAGCCAGGCTCTTAGGAGGAAGGAAGCCAGCCAGCCCTGTGTGAAGAACCCCCCTTTTCCCCACCATCCACCTCCCCGCACACCAGGTACCACTAGTGCCTAAATGCAGGTTAGCACTCAAGGACAGTGTTGGACTTGGAAAGAGGGGCATGTTCTCAGCTGGAGCAATTAGGTGATCAGCCACCAAGTGCAGCAGGCAGCCACTGGTCCTAGTTGGCAAAGGGTCCCAGGAGCCCGGGCGTTAGAGCCACTTCGGGCTCGGAACATGGGTGTGACTCAGAACATGGGTGTGGCGGGCTCCTTCAGTGTTGCTCTCTTTGCGGGGCCTCCGCTCTTCCCAAACCCTAGGTGCTTTGGGGGTATTGGTTTCTAGGATGGGGTCAGAGTGCTTCTGTTTTGCTTACTTTTAAAACCTTAACAGTTAGGCTTCCAGTTGATTTCAGTAAAACTCAACTGCTAACAATTTTGACACCCTCCTCCATTAGAAATGGGACTTGGTGTCAGTGGACAGCGGGGCCCCAGCAGCCATCTTTGACATGGCCGCATTCCCAGCCCTCAGGCCAGGCGGCCACTCCTGCCTCTTGGTAGCCATCCGCGCTGCTCGGTCTCTTTCTGCCTGTACGTCAAAGGGAAAACTGGAGAACAAATACTAATTTGGAGTGACTCTGTAGGCAGGAATCTCTGATCATTTTGTTGCTTCTGGAAATTTTTACAGAATTTCTCTTCAGACTAAAGTGTGGAAGGTGAGAGCAGAGTCGTCTGCCTGAACCGAAACACAAAGCTTGTTTTCCATTTATCGTTTAGAGTTGCTTGTCCTTTAAATCATGATTCCTCTCAGGGCCACAGGCTGGATGTGACCTCTGTGTCATAAAGCACACGGCCCAGCTGGGCCAGGGATGAACTAAGTGACCTTCTCAGACCTGGAGTTTCATACCCTATCACACGTTGCCTTCCCCCGCCCCCCCCCCCAATTTTGGCATTTTTCCTCCAATTAAAGTAGTCTGGCTGATTCTAGAAGCTTCCCAGCCACCCTAGTTGCACCACCATCATATGTCCACATCTTATCAGGACAGATTTCCACACACTTGGCAGATCCGGGCACATACTGTTGCCTGCATTGAGAAATAAGCATAGGAGCTGAGTGCTGCCCACACTTAACCAGCGAGAGTGTGGATGGTTCTTGCCCAAATATTCTGCTTGGCCACCCTAAAGGAGCAATAATTTACCTTTGTACATGAATTTACCAAACACTTTTCTACAAATCGTCTCTTACCCTGACAATGCTATGAAGTCGGTTGGGCAGAACCACCTCATTTTTAACAACTGAGGGAACCGAAGCGCTTGGCAGCTTATGTGACACATTTGGTCACAGGACTCAGAAGGGGAGGAGCCAGGACAAACATTTGGGCTTTTGGGTCCTTATTCTGTGCTCTTTGCTCCTGGTTAGCAATTCACCTTTTTCAGAAGCCAGCCACCTACCACACATGGTCGCCGCCCTGGCTAAGCCCTGCTGCCTGGCTTTCCCTGCAGTCTCACTGTTGACCCACAGATGCCTGGCTTTCCTCAGGCCTAAGTAGAGAGACCTCACATCTGGCCATTCCTTCTCTGTGCTCACAGCTACAGAAGTTTGGGCTCACACCAAACTGGTTTTCCAAGTTACCTAGTATGGTAGCTGCTTAAAGCGTATATGCAGTACAAGAGCTTATTTGCTAAGGGGCCATATTGTAAAGCGTCAGCCCCCGACTGCAGGCCAACAGACGAGACCAAAGAGGCTGCTCAGAAATGAGCAGAGGTTGTGGTCCAGAGGAGGGAGTGACCGCCCTCCCCAGTTACATCCCGCCACTTTCAGGGTTAAACAAGACAACATGGTTTTTGATTGAATGCTTTGTCTTTCCAGAGGCAAGGGGTG